TCCTCTCCCATTTGGAGGGCCTTTTACTTGCCTGCCTAGCATAGACAAATCACTCTGATGTTACCTTATCATCCACTTTACCAAGATGTACAGAAGATTAATGAAGTGCACTTTTGGATCCACAAAAGGAAAGCCCGAGATCATTCTTTTTCCTGTGAACTATTATTAGATATCAGTGTCCAACCTCCAAAATGATTTCCATCCACCTCATCACTAAAGAGTTGATGAATGATAATTAAATAACAGTCAAATACCAGAGACTTTATAATTCTTATCAGCAATTAAAAGGGTACTAATAATGATGGTAACAGTATTTAGATCACCTCTAATTCTTCTAATAGTCAGTCAACATTATCAACCCTAGGTGCCACTACGTATATTTGCAAGAAGTCAATGTGTCATGAATTGCCAGATGGATAAACAAAAACAACAGGGCAATTTATTAGTCTAGGATGAGCAGGAAGTCAGTGACAGAAGCAGAAAGAGGGCAAAGAAATGCTTGTCCTTGGATTGTATCAGATACATTCTATTCCTTTGTTGGCATGAAACTGATCCACCTTTGAGGAGACAGTGCTACTCAGGGGAGCATCAGTTTTACAACTAATGGCAGAGCTCAGGTGAGCAGAGAAATAAAGGAGCCTTTTGAACTGCCTATACCCTTGGGGAATTAATCACTTTTTCCACCCCACAGGGGAAGAAGAAAGCTGTAGGAAGGGTAGATCTGTTCTGAGACATAACTCTTTGTTCGCAGATGAGAAAGAGCTGACTTTATCCTAACCTTTGCCTTTGGGGTGGGGAGTGGGAGAGATAAACACCTCTTTGTGGGTTCTTGGGTGACTTTTTTAAGGAAGCATTTTCTACTCTTGGCTCACTTGGGTAAAGTACACTATACATCCGCGAGAACACTAAGATCTAATCTCTCTATGTTTTGTACAGGAAGAGAATTACAGCTTCGTTATTTTATACAATGTCACAGATCTCATTTCCTTGCTGGGGAGGAGGAAGGGAGGCAGAGAGGAAAAAGAGGAAGGGAGAAGCTTCTCACAACACTGGCTGTAGTAGAAACAATTATTGGTATTATTTGTATACTTAGAGAGTGCATTTTCAGAGAGATAAAACAGCTGCTAAAAATACATTGACTCTGAGCTGCATTTTCATGTTTCCTAATTTTTTTAAGATGCTAAGTTAACATGAGCACTTCTCTTAATGGAAGTCAAAATTAATTTTGAGATGGAATGAGATACCAGGGTCTGTGGTTGTCAGATGATAAGCCTGTGCCCTGCTGAGAGAGATGATGAAGTTACTGCAGAATAGCCTCCTGCCTGGGTTGCAGCATTTGTCTAACAAAGTGTCTTTCCTTAGCTCCTTCAGTAAATGTTCATTCATGCATCATATGTGGTGCTATCTTCACATACCCACTTTGTAAAAAATGTAATAGCTACCCACAATTATCCAGAGTAAATCTCAAAGAGTATTGCTGTTTGGACTTCTAAGGTGTTTGCATTCAATATACTTAAATGAGTGTTTGTACACATATGCAATTACTATATTCTCCACTGAAGCCCACCTCTCCAATTCATAAAAGTATCAGTGTGGTCTTGGGGTTCTTGATGCTATGCCAGTAGAATATAAACTGATAGCTAATCCAGTAACAAATTCACTTGTATTCCCCATCTGAGAACCAGTCTAGCTAAAGTTCAGATAATTTCATGATCAGGTGAGTCACAAAATTATGGTGCATTGGCAGGGAGGGGTGTATACAAAAGTTCATGAAGAGTATTTACTATGGCAATGATAGGGCTTGAGAGTCACTGTGGTTGAGAAAGGTCACTAGTGAAATCATAGCTCTTCTAACTGTGCTTTATGACAAGTTAGAGGGTTTTTTCTTATTTAATATCAGTTATCAGATAACTTTGGCTTTTTGATGTTGTCAAATGCAAAGTGTCTTTAGAAGATATTTTACTAGATATTTAGATATTTAGAAGATATTTTACTTATAACAGGAGTTTTTAACCTGGGGTCTGTGAATTTTTTCTGTCATTTATCTATATAACTATATTTCAATATTATTGATTTATATTCTAATTCTGCAAATTTCATTTTATTCATTAAAATTATTCAGGTTTATAGGCTTTATTAGATTGACAAAGGGGTCTATGATACACATTAAAAAGGATAAGAATCCCTGGTCTAGAAGAAACCTGCAAGAAACTGGTGTGAAGTCCAAGATAGATGCCAGATTCAAAGTCCTCCTCTTACTAAAATGGCCCAAAGTGCATTTTAAAAGTTTACAGAAAGTACATGAAGATGAACTTAGGAGACCTTGCTTAAAGAAAAAGGATTAAAAGGGGGGAAAAAATATCAACACCCAGAGTTCATCTAAAAGCAAAGGGGAGGGACATTTTCGAAAAACGTTGTGAACACTAGAGGGAGCCAAAAGAAAAATTTTACAGACCAAGAAGTGGAGGGCTATTCAGCACCTACAGCTGGAGGAGAGCTCCCTGGACTTTCACCAAAGGTTAAGGGCAATCAGACACCTTAAGAGACTAATAACAGTACCATTACATGCTAAACAATCAATTAATGTGTATTTTTAAAATAAAACAAAATATGAAGTTAAGTTAGTATAGATTTTGTGGGCCAAGTTTCATATACAGTATTTTTCAGTGAAGAATTATTTGAAATTCGAAATAAAGGAAAAGGTAGTTGGTGATTATTTTAAACCACTTCTTGGTAACACTTGAATGGCATGTGAAAATAAGAAGTGTAAATTGATCAACTTTATGGACTTATTTCACAGTAAAAATAAAACACAAAAACTAAGAAATTTTGCATATTTTGTACTTTGAAACCATTCAGTTTGCCACCTGGAAGTACCTGAGACATGTTATTCCCAATGCTATGTAATTTTTAAATGAAGTATCTTAGTAATGTTTGCCACCATTAAGAAAGAATAGAATGTAAAAAGGAGTTTGTCAAGATATAGCTTAGAGTATAATTTCTTCAAATAACCAGATAGAAGAAAAAACATATAGTCATCCTCTTCTCTTTCTCTCTCTGTGCCTCTGTCTGTCTTACTCCTTTCATTTCTCCCTCTAATATACACACCACAATGATTTGTTCAGTGTCAGTTTTTTTTGTATGCGAGAATAGCAGAGAAAGAAAGAATTATTTAGCAGGAAAGATGAATTTTTAAACTGTTGGAATCCATATTCAAAAGGTGACAGGGTTGTAAGTATGTTTAAGAAAACATTGTAATGCTATTGTCTAAAGTATCCTCCATCCCAGCCTTATCACTCCCTAAAGGTAATAGAAACTTTATCAGATGCTAATTTTGAAGATTATAATTTCTAGAAATTACCCTTTTATTGTTTTAAATAAACTTTAAGTTCAACTTGTCCAGACCTATCCAAGCCAGTGACCACAGCCACACACATTATAAACTCCATGTTTCTACCAGAGACAGCTAAGCCCTAAAAAAAGTACTCTGAAAACAAGCATCCAGATAAGCAACAAGAGCAAATGGATATGGAGTTATCAGAAGAGAAAGAGAATATCAAAGTGACAACATAACCTGAAGATCAATGATGAGTGAAGCATTTTAGAGACACTGAAGTTCTAAAAAGCATGCATTCAGTTCAACTGAATGAATTTTATATTTAGTATTTGCAAGTGTCTGTTCACTAGAACCATGCAAAGTACCACATAGCAAATTACCATAATAATGAACTTTTAAAGGTTTTAATGGAGTAAAAGAGAAACAATATGGATCCCCCCCACAGATTTCTAATCAAAATTTAATAGTTAGAAGTTTTCCTTGACTTTGAGCCCCCCCAACACACACACACACACACACACACACACACACACATTCTTCAGCTACAAATGTGGTACTAGGGAAAGGAACAGTTGGAGCATTATTCTATTTACTAGGTTTAGTTGAATGAAGTGGAGAAATCTTTCACCATTAGTTCCCTATACACATGCAGTGATAACTTTCTTCCCTAACTCAGATACTCTGCAGAAATCCTGCGCTAGGAGAGGAATGAATGGACATCTGTAGAATGATTATCCTTTTGTCTGAATGTGTTTCAAATCATTGAGGTAAACTTGCCTTCCTAGGACACACCAATCCTTCTTCCTTCCTCCCCACCTTCTATATTCAAAAGATTGAAATTCAATCAGTAAAGAGGGAGGGTCCTCATTAAAGGCGAATAAATATGAAAGCATATATTATATGCATATAAAATACCAATATTATTACTTTATTTGAGTTTCTTGAAGGTCCAGAAGTTCTCAGAAAGTATTTCCCAGTTAGCAAATATTGTAAGGGGATTGGGGTTGCTGAGAGGAGTATGGGGATATGAGGACTGAGGATCTAGAATGTGGAAGAAAGACGTCAGAAATAAAAGTGAAGTGAGATTGAGTTCATAGACTCAGAGCTGGAAGGGACTCGATGTCCTCATTTTACAGATGAGGAAAGTGAGGCCCAGAAAGAAGTGACTTAAGATCACACAGATAGGTCATTAGCACAATCAGTATCTGAATCAGGTCCTCCAATTTCACAGCAAACACTTCAATATATAGGATTCAATATGTGTGTGTGTGTGTGTGTGTGTGTGTGTGTGTACACACACACACACACACATATGATTTTTGACTTAGAAGGAGAGTTAAAGATTTTCTTGTCAACTACTTCTTTTTTCCCCTCAACTACTTCTTAATGATCTCTATTGTTCTTGGTTTAGATTATGAACAAAGGCACCTCCCCTCTGCTCTTTCTGTAGTGCCAAAAGATAAGCTAGAGGTGGAGGAAGGGTAGTGGGGTGATACCGTTTAAGGTCAAATAAGCATTACTCATAGAAGCCTAGAATATTGGAGAGGGAAGGATGGTCTTAGAGGTCATTTAGTTCATTCCGTCACTCAGTGAAGAGTGCACTCATAAATAACCTCGAGGCTCCCCAGAAGCCAGAGGTAGGGAAGGGGAAGGGCGGAGATACCTGGTTGATGGAATTCACCGCCAATCGTGGGATGATTAGTTCCAGGAAGATCTGCACTAGAGATGTGACCAGCCCCGCAAGGATGGCCCAGGTGAGGGGCAGCGGCAGCATGCTGTAGGTGGCGAAGAGAGTGAAGAGCACATAGCCAATCCCATCCCCTAGGAGCCCGTAGCCCAGACCTGCTGCTAGGATCTGAGTCGTCATGGCCACCCAGGTCACCAGCCCGCTGTACTGTAGGTACGTGTAGGAAGTGGTGTCCTTCCTGACCACCACCAAAGCACAGATGACCACCTCGATGCCTGTAAAGAAGCCCAGAAGGATGCCCTTGAGGAGGTCCATGGGGGCCGATGCCAGGGTCAGGTGGAGCACGAGCAAGGTCAGTTTGGTCAACACGTCCAAGATGTTCATGACCACCTCGGACTTGCGCCGCTGTCCCAGGAAATAGCGCTGGTAGAGGCGCTCCAGGTCCCGGGACTTAAAGGAGTTCCGCAGGGTGGGGAAGATCACCCCTCGGTAGGTGTAACCCCAATTGAGAAAGAAATCCGAGTTGCTGGGAGCGCAGTCGAGGTGCAGGAAACCCAGGTCACCGCTGCTGCCCCTCCGCTCGGGGAAGACTTTGGTGGGGCCACCCCCGTTGTTGTGACCGCCCTTCCCGGTCGAGCCCAGACTCCCGGGCTGGCCCAAAGGGCAGAGGGGGAGGGCTGGGGCTTGCTGGAGGTGGGGCGCGTGGTGGTTGGGGCCGCCAGGGTCGCTGGTCTTGCCGTTCCCGCCGCAGACACCGCTCTGGTGGATGAAGCGCTGCTCCGTGATGTGCCGCACCGCGGTCTGCCAGAGCAGCCTCTGGGATCGCGAGCCACCGCCGGCGCCGCTGCAGCTCCCCCCGCTGCCGCCGCTGGCCGGGGGTGTCGGGTTAATGGTGTAGAGTTCTTCCATGCTGCTCAAGCAGCGCACATCGGTTAACTCCATAGCGCTTGGGGGGAGGGGGGAAACTGGGGCAAGAGAAAGGGGAAGGTGGCGGAGCGCCCCAGGTGGGAGTTCTTTTATATTTTAAGAAAAGAAAGAACGAAAGAAAAAGAAATCAGAGGAGTTGAGAAAGGGCGCCAAGCTCTAGTCAAGCCTCCCGCTGTCCTTTCGTCCTGGGAAGGTGACGCCAGTGAAGGCAATCATGATCCAGCCACTCCGGGTAAAGGGAGCTTGGAGGAACGCAGCCCTTATCTTTGTACACCGTCCGCGCCAGCGCCAAGAACTGTGCTTCCCTCTTCCTCTTCCTTCTTCTCCTCTAGCCGCCCCACTTTGGCTCGAGGCGGCCCCAGCTATTTGCGGAGCCCGGGGCTCTCCGAGGCACTGCCTCCAGGGCTCGTCTCAGTGGTGAAGCCTTTGCTCCTCGAGAGCCACCCCGGCACCTGAAAGCTGATGCTGCCGCCGCAGCAGCCGCCGCCGCCGCCGCCGCCGCTGCTGCTTCTGTTGTGCGCCAGGCTGGTCTGTCCGCAGCCGTGGTCTCCCAGCCGCCCACGGCGCTGCTGCATCCTTTGAAAAATGGGGGCTTTTTGGGGGGTGTCCGGTGGATGGTGGGAAGTTCCTAACGGCCTCTGGGGCAGCGCGCACCGGAGAACTCCATTCAGTTAGGATGGAAAGCCGGGCTGACCAAATGAGAAGGGGAGAGAAGGAGTATGGGGGACGGAGGTAAGGGAGGGGGTGGCTGCGCGTCCCACAAGAGGGATTGGAAGGGAGGTGGGCGCTGGGCTAGTAAATTATAAAGCAGTTAATTAGTGAGAGGGAGGCTGCAGCTGGTCGCTCCTCAATCTGCTTCCCTACCCTCCTCTTTCTGGGCGAAGGTGGTTAGGGCAATACTAGGTCTGGCTGTTTGTTTCCTGGGGGTGGGGGTAGGGGGAGGAAGGGTGGAGAGGATGGGGGCGGTTCCCATACCCCCAGCTCCTGTATAAGGAGAAGTGAAGGACTTCACTTGAGGTTTCGAGGACTCAATCTATTCTATTCCGCTATGATTGATATTCTTGAATCCATTAAGTCAGAAAAAGCAGGAGAAGGTGAGAGGGGGAAGCAGGGAAAGAGGGAGGAGCAAGAAGGGGGGAGGGGGGAGAAGAGCCCGACTATCTTCAAAGCAAACTGGCCCAAGAGAGAATGAACTATGATTGTCCAGAATTCAGTTGCCTAGACCACGGCCTTGAGTGACAGAGTGGGATGTGAGGTGAAATTGGGTGATGGAGAGAGTGAAAGTCGCAGCGAGAAGAAAAGGAAGAAACTAGGGACCACAGCAATGTCTCTAGCTCTAGGGAGCAAAAGTGCCGCTAAATCTACTAGTTTAAAAGAACGTTTGAAGGGAAAATGTAATCATTCGTAATATCCAACGAAGTCTCAGGGAACTGAACATTCTAGGCACCCTAAAAGCGGCAGAGGAACGAAAAAGGGTTACTCATAGGAAAAATAAATTAAGGTCTCCAGGAAGGCAGGCATTCTTCCCAAATCTATTTTAGATCCCTCATAGGCTTGAGTGGAAGATGAGAAATGTAATGTCTGCACCCAGAGCACACTTCCCCGGGGAAAATGATCAATGAGCAAGGGATCCTGGGCTTTTCTCTCCCAGCCTCAAAATGCAACCTCTCAGTCTGGCAGCGTCAGCAGTGGCTACTGGCTGCAAGGTGTGAAGTCCAGAGAGTTCTAGCTGCTCTCCAACTTTGCCTAGAAAATCCTCTTTTCCTGATCAGAGTGGAGGGAAAGATTCATACTTCAACAAAAAAAATCTCCTCAAGCTCTGATCCCCACCCTCGCCTTCCCTTCTCCCTATTCTTGGAAAACGCAAAAGCACAGATTTCCGACTGGGACCACTGGGAACAGGAAATAGCTTCCCAACCTTGAACCCCTCTGAAGACTTTTGTAGCTCCCGGGAAATCTCAAGGGGAAACCTAGGGTCAAGTCTTTCTTTTGTCACATACTGTCTGTGTGACCCTGGACAAGTCACTTAACCTTTCAATGCTTTAAGGCAACTTTGTAACTATATGCGTGTTTCTGCTCTCTCTACGTCTGTCTCTGTCTCTCCACATCTATAGTACATACATACATATATGTGTATACATACATACATATATATGTTGAAGGAATGCTGACTTGAATTGGTAGAAGCAGTTTTCCTGTTCACAAACAGGTTCGGTTCATGCGCATTAAAAATAAAGGATCAGACAGTCTCTGGACGTCACTTTATTTCTGTAATTCAAAATTTCAAGGGAAATGGTTAGGGGGGTGGTGTTGAAAGAACTCCCTAAGGGGTCAGGTGTTGAGCCCTCTAACACAGACAGCTGCGTGCTCAGAAGTTAGTTCCTAATGAAGTGAAGCACCGGGAATACTGGGTAAGGCATTTCAGTTGATTCCTTTCAGCTCTTCCCAGAACAGCGTCAAATGGAGCCACAGTGATCCCAGCTCAACCCCAATACCTGAGGCCACTGGAATGCAGTTTTCCCGCGCTCCTGCTTGGGAGACCCTTAAGATTGCTGGTTGCTGCAGAGGGCGCACCAGCAGTCCAGATTCCGAGATCGTAAAGCGGCTGCAGTCACTGTTATCGCTGCTACTCTTGCTGCTGCTGTCTCCCACTGCCTAACCACAAGAGCCAGAGACTGCTCTGTCAGCTAATGCCTAGCGACGTCAGTTTCAGGCTTCTTTCCCACTCTCCTGTTAGCAAAAATGACCGCTTAGCTGGGCCCATCAGGCCCACCTCATCTCCAAAAGGAGTGACCTTCCCATAACCTAAAGGAGCAATTCACCTCCTCTGCAGTCCTGGAGAAAAGAGAATGGATGACACCGGATGCAGTGTCCCTTAGACTCTAGACTTGTTTGTCCTGTAGCCTCTAGGGTGTGTGCTCCTGTGTTATGGATGTGTTTCTTTCCTATGTAGATGAGTTTCAGACCAGATCGTGTAAGGAGCCTGGAGACTTAATGCAATGAGCACCCATGCCTTGGGAATTCATCAATATTTTTAAAGCACCTACTGTATGCAGAATACTATGCTGGGGGAGATAAGATTCATGGAGCTTACTACATTCTAGTAAGGGACTTGACTCCCACACAAATAACCATAAATGCAAAATGCTTAATAAGTACATTAGAAAATCCCTTAAACAAAGTGCTACATATAGTGTGGAAAGAGAAGAGAGCAATGTCCACTACTTCCCCTTCCTTAAACTGGGATTTCTGGGATTTGCCAGATACCAAGGAAACACTGAAGAAGTCAGCTTTGATTCCAATACTTTGGAAATTTAATAGGACTCCCTCATTACTCCCAAAATGTTAATAAAATATCAGGGGAGAGGTTTGTCTAAGAACCTTTTCCATCTCAATCTTATCCAAAAGATGAAATAATAAGTATTTTCTCAGGAAAGAAAGACTATTCAGTTTTAACATAGTAGTATCTTTCTTTGTAGAATATGTGTATGTGTATATATATCATATATGTGCCTATACACACTTACATTGTCATTTCTACAAAGATCTTAAAGAAGTTGTAACATATAGGTAGGGTAGGCATTTAAAGAAGGGAGGGAAGTTGTCTTTTTCTTTCCCCATTTTTGAACCAATATTCAAAATGAGGATTGACAGTGTTTCCATGTTGCTTTATTTACAGATGGGGCAAGTGTTACAAAAAAAGCAAAGTAATCCTCACTGGGTTGTTGTGAGGAGAGTGATTGATAAATTTTGAAACACTAGAGAAATAGGAGTTATTATTAAATGGGAATTATCATACAATTCCCTGATCATCTAGAGAAATTGTTTCACTTCTCTAGCTAGTTCTGGTATATTTCATCAAACCATATCTCCCTCCCCCAATGCTTCTGTGCTAAATGGGCACATTAACAACTTTGACAAAGGAGCAGACCTCTTTATTTATTTTTCTTCACTACCTTCCCTCAGGGGGTCTGTAGATTTAGCCCAAATAAAGTACAGGTCTTGCCATATTCAAATGTTTCTCCAACCAAAATGCCTTCCAATGTGATTTCTCAAACATAAAAAAGAATGCAACTAATGAGCTGATACCCAATCCAATTAAAAAAAAAAAAGGTCCAAGATGACGAATAAACAGAGCAACCTGAAGAAGGAAAGTCAAGGAATTTCATGAGCTTAGAGTCTGAATGTAATGTCAGTGAATCAGTGTAGAGGAAGGTGGAAATATCTATTAAAATGAACCTGGAAGGTTTCTGTTTTGTAGTGACAGATTATAATAGTTTTAAACTAGTACAGGGTATAGCTGTGTAAATAGGGTGGTTATCAAAGCACTTAGTGCATGAATAGAATCTTCAAGTAGAAAGATCCTCTAGCTCAGGATCCTACATCCAAATGAATACCAAGCTTCAATCAGATTTCTAGACTAGAATCTGTAAAGCAATATCCACTGTCTCATGAAATGTCTCAGTGTAATAAATAAGCAAACCTGCCTTCTGTATACAAATAGATAATATCTGTTGCATATGTATTGACAAGTTTGTTTAGCCTCTGGAAGACTTGGCTCCAACTCCTACCTCAGATAATATTGGCCATGTGACCTAGGGCAAATCCCTTAAACTCTCAGCTTCCCCAGGCAACTCTCCTGAGAGTGCAGATTTAAAAGAAGCAGATAGTCTGTATTGATGAAAGGTATTTTCATTGAAAATATTTTCCTAGACAATTATAGGATACCAGATATACACGTATATGACCACAGGAACAGATACATATATACAATTTTCAAATGTATGCAGATTCTGTTGAAAATAAAGTATTAAAATATGCATCTAGTGGATCAATCAACAAGCATTTGGTATTAATGAATTCATAGTGGCTATCTGTCATATATTTCACAGAATCCCACAATTGGAAGGACTTTTGTAGCCACTGGAAAATAATCCCTTATAAAATCTCCTCAACAAGTTGTAATTCCACCTGTGTTTGAAGAGCCAATAAGGTAGCCCATTCTGCTTTGGAAGAGCTCTGATCCCTTTCATATCAAGCCTAAAGTTGCCCCTTGGTCACTTCCTTCATCAATTCAATAAACATGTATTAAGTATTTACTAAGTACCAGCCTGAGGTGTTAAGACTGAACCTATGGTTACTGAAGAAGGAAATGGAAATCCACTCCAGTATCTTTGCTAAGAAAACCCCCAAATAGGGTCATAAGGAGTCAGATATGACTGAACAACAACTTAGGAAAATTAATACTTTCAGTATTTACCTCACAGGGTTAATATGTAAAGTATTATATAAATGGGTATCTGGCCTCAGACACTTACTAGCTGTATTGACTCTGGGCAAATCACTTAACCTATTTGCCTCAGTCTCCTCATCTGTAAAATGAGCTGGAGAAGGAAATGGCAAGTCACTCCAGTATCTTTGCCAAGAAAACCAAAAATGGGGTCACAAAGAGTTGGATGTGACTGAAAACAACTGAACAACAAAGCTATAGTTACAGAGCCAATATGTGTGAAACCTGGGACTTGAACCCAAGTCTTCCTAACTCCTGAATATTTCTCTATCCACTGCTCTATCATGCTTCTCAGTGCCTTTCTGGAATATAAATTTCAGAGATAGTTGTTTATCTGTATTGATAGAGGAAGTTCCCCACATACCTCCCTATACAGATAAAATCCTCTATCCTGGAAAAAAAGTGCAAGTTACTATGTTAGGAATAGAGACAGAAGGAATCAGTGGGTATAGTTGTGATCATGTGGCAAATGACTTTTTTTTAATAGTTAAAAAGAACCTTTTCCTACTTAGCAAGGTTGGGAACCACTGGTATATTCCAAGCCACACTTGACTAGAACCTCCCTCTGTCCCTACAAAACTGTCTTCAAGCCTCTTCATCAAGATTTTCAGTGATGGAGAGCACATCTTGCCAGGCAACCTGTTCCACTTTCAGGCACATTAAATTTTTAGGAAGATTTTCCATACTAAAATCATCCTCTTTACAACTACCAGTTTTACTTTTGCCCTCTGAGGCCAAGACTCTAAAGCTCTTCCTCGTTTTTATTGTTGGGCATGGGAGAATCAAGTATTTTGGATCATAAATTT